TGTCATTTCTGTGTAATTATTTGTAAAATTTACTAGCAATTTCTGAGTGAAAACGTCTTCAAAGTAAATCCCAAATCAACTTTTTTAAAGTATATTATTTACAAGTTTGTTACAAGATAATTATATACAGTAAGTATATGGCCATTTTAAGGTCTGTATTTACACTGGTGATGAAAAGTTTGGGGCCAGTAAGGATTTTTATTTATTTATTTGAAAGAAAGAAATTAATTATTTTATTCAGCAAGTGTGCATTATATTGATCAACGTGACTGTAAAGATATTTTTGATGTTACAATTTTTTTTTGTAATGTTACAAATTCTGTTTTAAATAAAGAATCAGGAAAAATGTACCATGGTTTTTACAAAAAAATATTAAGCAACAAAAACTAAGAACAAAATCAGTATATTAGAATGATTTCTGAAGGATCATGTGACACTGAAGACTGGAGTAATGGCTGCTGAAAAATTCAGCTTTGACATCACAGGAATAAAATACAAATATAAATATAAAATACTTAAAAAAAAATCACAATTTTTCTACTCTATTTTTAATTGAATATAAATGCAGTCTTTGAGAGCATACGATACTTCTTTCAAAAGCAATAAAAAATGTACTTAAGAACATTTGCAACATTTGAATTTAGAAAAAAAATAAATACAAATAATCTATTTTAATGGATTACCCAACTTCCTCATCTTCCTCAGTCAAAGTCCTCTGCGATGAGAGAAAAGATAATGAAGAAGTATGAAGAGATGCGGAGAGTTCTGGAGGAGGACTGTAGGATCACTCTGTCCCTGCTGGAGATGGAGGAGACGGCTGCGGTTCGAGCGCTGGATAACCTCATTGAGAAAAACTGTGTCCTCCTCAGAGACATTGAGGTTCAGCTGAATGAAGGGATGATGGACAGTGACATACAGCCTGGTGACAGGGTGAGCCTTTTATAAGAAGAATAATTGGTAAGACAGGTGAACTGTCATAGTCTCTTTTTGTTTATATTTATTGTACCTTAATCTACCATGAATGGTATGGGCTGTCATTATATAAAAATATCATGAGTGACCAATAAATGAAATGACCAACAACAGATGGTGAAACCTACCATCCCTGCAACATAATACATTCTCACTATGCATTTCTGCGTCTCTCTCTCATAGGTCACAATGTATGAGGACAGGTATGTATATTTAGAACCGCACTTAAGAGAGATAGTTTTGTCACCATGTCAGCCATGCTAGCTTTTGAAACACAATGAAATCTGAATGACTCATCTGCAAAGGCATTATTGTTGTAGAGATCATGTTTGCCAGAATCCAGTTCATGTTTAGGTTTATTTAATGTGCTGTTATGAACACCGTTTAGCTTACTGGAACAAACATTCTTAAATTAAAGACTGTTTTTATCCTATAGCTGGATGGGCTCATTGAGTTTACATACTACTCAGAATTTAGTAAATAGATGCCGGTTAATATTGTAGTTTCTAAAAATCTGTATACGACATCTGAAATAAACTATCACTGTAATGATCAGAATTTTAGGGAATTTAAATTGTATACCTTACACTCATTATTTTCTGTAACTGAACAATATTTTTATAACTTGTAAAAATATTATTTTGTAACTGTGAATATGTTTATATTTGTATTGTTCAAAGTAAAAACATTTTAAGAAATCAAAACTTCATTAAGCAAAAGTGGCAGTAAAGACATTACAAAAGATTTCGATTTCAAATAACAGCTATTTTTAAATGTTGTGTATCAAGGTTTCCACAAAAAATATTACGCAGAACAACTCTTTTCGAAATTAATAATAATGATAATGTTTCTTGAGCATCAAATCAGCATATTAGAATGATCATGTGGTAATGTTACAAATTCTGTTTTAAATAAAGAATCAGGAAAAATGTACCATGGTTTTTACAAAAAAATATTAAGCAACAAAAACTAAGAACAAAATCAGTATATTAGAATGATTTCTGAAGGATCATGTGACACTGAAGACTGGAGTAATGGCTGCTGAAAAATTCAGCTTTGACATCACAGGAATAAAATACAAATATAAATATAAAATACTTAAAAAAAAATCACAATTTTTCTACTCTATTTTTAATTGAATATAAATGCAGTCTTTGAGAGCATACGATACTTCTTTCAAAAGCAATAAAAAATGTACTTAAGAACATTTGCAACATTTGAATTTAGAAAAAAAATAAATACAAATAATCTATTTTAATGGATTACCCAACTTCCTCATCTTCCTCAGTCAAAGTCCTCTGCGATGAGAGAAAAGATAATGAAGAAGTATGAAGAGATGCGGAGAGTTCTGGAGGAGGACTGTAGGATCACTCTGTCCCTGCTGGAGATGGAGGAGACGGCTGCGGTTCGAGCGCTGGATAACCTCATTGAGAAAAACTGTGTCCTCCTCAGAGACATTGAGGTTCAGCTGAATGAAGGGATGATGGACAGTGACATACAGCCTGGTGACAGGGTGAGCCTTTTATAAGAAGAATAATTGGTAAGACAGGTGAACTGTCATAGTCTCTTTTTGTTTATATTTATTGTACCTTAATCTACCATGAATGGTATGGGCTGTCATTATATAAAAATATCATGAGTGACCAATAAATGAAATGACCAACAACAGATGGTGAAACCTACCATCCCTGCAACATAATACATTCTCACTATGCATTTCTGCGTCTCTCTCTCATAGGTCACAATGTATGAGGACAGGTATGTATATTTAGAACCGCACTTAAGAGAGATAGTTTTGTCACCATGTCAGCCATGCTAGCTTTTGAAACACAATGAAATCTGAATGACTCATCTGCAAAGGCATTATTGTTGTAGAGATCATGTTTGCCAGAATCCAGTTCATGTTTAGGTTTATTTAATGTGCTGTTATGAACACCGTTTAGCTTACTGGAACAAACATTCTTAAATTAAAGACTGTTTTTATCCTATAGCTGGATGGGCTCATTGAGTTTACATACTACTCAGAATTTAGTAAATAGATGCCGGTTAATATTGTAGTTTCTAAAAATCTGTATACGACATCTGAAATAAACTATCACTGTAATGATCAGAATTTTAGGGAATTTAAATTGTATACCTTACACTCATTATTTTCTGTAACTGAACAATATTTTTATAACTTGTAAAAATATTATTTTGTAACTGTGAATATGTTTATATTTGTATTGTTCAAAGTAAAAACATTTTAAGAAATCAAAACTTCATTAAGCAAAAGTGGCAGTAAAGACATTACAAAAGATTTCGATTTCAAATAACAGCTATTTTTAAATGTTGTGTATCAAGGTTTCCACAAAAAATATTACGCAGAACAACTCTTTTCGAAATTAATAATAATGATAATGTTTCTTGAGCATCAAATCAGCATATTAGAATGATCATGTGACACTGAAGACTGAAGAAGAGTAATGGCTACTGAAAATTTAGCTTTGCCAAAAATCCTTAATCTCAATATAACCATCAACCTTTTACAGTATATAGAAGATAGGTGTTATCTGTGAGCTGACATGCTTTCTGTTGGCAGGGTGCTGGAATTGTTAACAGCGACAGACCCAGGTCTCATAAAACTTGATGAGGCCAAATCAGATCAGCTACTGGGCCTCACACACAATTTACTACTGTTTATCCGCTCGCAGATCCCCATTGCTAAGAGGTTGCTGAAGAGCTGTGAGTAACTGTCAATAGCACATTAACATTTTTTTGATTTTTGCATTAAAAAATTTGCAGCAAATGAATGTTACTTTTTT